TTTCCTTTTTACAAACATTATTTTGACTAAAAAACGTTGGACCTATATGCAATATTTATAATTTCCCAATTGAGGAAATTTTATGTACAATATTTATATTAATTGCAAAAAAACCCCACTTACAATAATCACCCATATTATTAATAAAATAATTTCACAGTATTGGTTAATGAGTTTCCTTTTTATAAACAATATTTTAATTAAAAAAATGTAGGACTTAAATGCAATTTTTTTTAATTTCCCAATTGAGGAAATTTTTTGCACAATATTATATTAATTGCAAAAAAAACCCCACTTACCATAATCACCCATATTATTAATGAAATAATTTCACAGTACTGGTTTTCAAATATATATGTCCTACATGTCAAAATAGTGTCTTTTTATTGGTTAATGAGTTTCTTTTTTATAGACAATATTTTGAATAAAAAAACGTAGGACTTAAATGCAATTTTTATAATTTTCACATATTATTATATTTAAATTAATATAGATATATCTGGAAACTATATCAATTTAAATTAATTATTTTATTTGTTACCTTTATTACATTCCTTAACTCTTCTATAAATTACCATTCAACACATCACCTTCTTCAACTTTTCCACATACATTTTTTTTGTTTCGGAGATATGGAGAGGATTCTTGAGAAAGAATTGCATTGATATCACCTACCTGCAATGATATATTTCATTATAGTCTCTTTTGTAGTATAATTTTACTTTATTGATTTATTTTGTAATTGATTTCTTCATTCAATTCTATTTGGAGTAGTTGAGTAATGCTTTTATTGAAGCTTCTCGGTTGACAGGATTGTCTACTGTCAACCTTCGCTATGATGAAGGCAATCATTTTCAAGTTATTGTGTGTTCGCGACAAAAAATATGGAAAAACGTATGTGTTGTTGACTAAGGTTGGACACAATTTTGTTACGCAAATAAGGTGGTTTGCGGCAACAAGTACTCTTTTTATTTTAACCAATGGGATGATGTACTAGAGGTCTGGTTTGGCCAACCTTTTAACTGTTATGATATATATACATATTATATATATATATATATATATATATATATATATATATATATATATGCCTTTCCTGAATAAAATTATACACTATTAATTGTTGTTAGAAAAAAAAATTGTTTTTACATATAAATTTACATACATATATTTTCTCACTATACATATGGATATTTATTTTTATATGGATATTTTCCCACAATATAGATTTTTTTTCCTTTATAATAATTAATATTGATATATTTTTTTTATAATTATGTATCCGATCTATAATTAATTCTAATTAAGCATATAAATTTAAATCGAAATTTGGGGAATTGCTTAATTGTATTTCATTACATGGAATATGAATATTTATTAACTATAATATACTATAATTTAGGAACTATAATTTCATTACTATAATTGTATTTCATTTACTATAATTTATGAACTATTAAATCTCACCATCTTATATATACACCGTTAATTTCAGTGTTAGTCTAAACTGCAGGATAATATTATTCTTTCGAAACTTCATCATCCGGCCATCGTTCTCTTTGTGTGAATCGTGAGTATAATAGTATGTGAGAATAATCGTTTATTTTTTTTGTTTTTTTCTTTCACAATATTCGAGTATAGGAATTAATGTACTTTTTCATATAGATAATATATTGTAACTTAATTCATATTAGGTAACATATATAGTTCAAGATTTGTAACAGAATATTCATCTTTTATAATGTGACTTAACTAACTAACAAACTTTTGATTACGCGTATTAAACATTTATAAATGTCAAGGTAAATAGAGCTCACTAGAAACTTGGAGGGCGAAAAAAAATCATGGAATCTCAAAATCAGTGTTTTGCGAATTTGGAAACAACCAAATTATTTTAAAAGATCTTCAAGATCTGCAGATGATCGTCATTGATGAACATGTGATAATTTTATTTTTATACGTCAAATTTGATTTGTTAGCAAACAATATTTTCACAGTGGAAGCTTCCTTTAAGTATACATTGTTTTACAGATATGAGTCTAAGATCAGAGAGGAGAGATGTTATGTAATGTCAAACCTATCCGCTTTTTTTTTTAGTGCTAAGACCTACAAGCATGCATTGAATGAATATTATGTCACTTTTGAATATACATCTACGGTGAGAGAAGTTGACGTTTCGTCCATTCCAATGTATTCATTTAAGTTCACATCTTCCTTAGATATCCAGCAAGCGTCGAACAACAATGAGTATACGATATGTATTAGTTGTTTATATGATTTCTTTTTCTTTCTATTTAGCATTTATTTATAAAGTGTTTTCTAACAATGTTATAATATTGATTGCAGATGTTATTGGTTCACTTTTGTCGATAGGTTCATTGGCTCACCTAGCGGGTGGAACCAAACAGAACATTCCATTTGAACTTGAATATATTGAGTAATTTAAAAATCAGTGAAATATATTTTTTAGATTTTAAATGTTTTACATGTGTTTTTCATATCCATGATCGTTTTCTTTGACATGCAAGTGATTGTTTGCTGAGGGGAAAGTTTGATGACTACATACTTCAACGAATTCAGGATATTAGTGTAGGACCGTATATTGTTGTAATACAATTTGCAACGACTGAGATTAAACATGGTATTAATTTGTTCAATATTTCTCTTACGTATTTGGTTTAATGAATGTGAAGGACATTTATTACATTTCATGACTATTCTTATGTTTTCTTAGGTGAAGTCCAAATCCAACCATTGGCATTCATCGCGTGTGCTTATAAATGAGGATATTCTTGCAATTAACGAATTCAAATCGAGGTTATAATTTTATCTTTAAATAAATTAATTACTTTGTTTTTACATTTATTTCGTTCATTACGATTTATTAGCATGTAGTTTTTATTTTAGATTCATTCGGAGTAAACCAAATAGTGGTCAAGTGATAAGTCAGATGTCGTCGCAGTCTTCTTACTCGATGGAAGATGATTTCATACGTAAGACTGTTACAAAAAAAATGGACGAATTGAGTGACACAAATGAGGTAATAACAATGTATTTGCTAGATTATGTATTCGTACATTTTAAATAAAATACAAATAGGAACCATTTATCAAATCTGATTATAACTATATTTAACTAACTATTCACATTATAGGATTTCCAACGCTCTTCATCACATTCACATGCAATCCCCAATGGCCTGAAATACAAAGGGTGTTGAAAGATACAAATCTCAAGTCGGGGGATTGGCCAAACATTCTATGTCGTGTGTTCAAGAGGAAGCTCGATAGTATGATGACATAAATTAAGAAATGACGTATATTCGGATGTATTAGAGCATGTAAGTATTTAATTAGATCTCAAGTTATAATTATACATTACTACATTCATAGGAATTAGAGATATGGATCATGTGTGAATTTTAATATTTATTTATTCATTAACTAAATTAATGCATATTGTTTAATATCTTTTGTTTACAGTTCCTCTCCAGATGTGCGCACTATTGAATTTCAGAAATGAGGTCTACCGCATGCACATATTTTGTTGTGGTTGCATAATGATGACAAGCCCATGACCCCAGAAGATATTGACAAGATTATATGTGCTGAAATTCATGACAAAGAAACGGACAGAAAGATGTACCACTTGGTGGAGAAGTATATGATACATGGACCCTGCGGTCAGGCAAATTTGAAATCTCCATGTATGAAGGATCGAGTTTGCACGAAGCGATTTCCAAATTCATTTGTACTATGAACTGAGTCAGATGCAGATGGTTATACTGTGTACAGGAGAAGTGAAGATGGCAGAACGGTTATGAAGAAGAAGACTACTCTTGACAATGGGTTTGTAGTTTCGTACAATTGGGTATTATTGAGTAAATACAAATCTCACATTAATATAGAGCTATGCAACCAAAACATGTCAATCAAATACCTATTCAAATACGTCAACAAGGGTCATGATCGAGTTACGGCGGCATTTTACGAAAGACGCAATATAGATGGCGGTGCTGAGATTCGTGACGAGATAAAGATGTACTACGACTGCAGATATCTTTCGGCATGTGAGGCAATGTGGAGGTTGTTTAATTTTGATACTCATTACAGAGACCCATCGGTAAATAGGCTAAGCTTTTATCTCCCAGATCATCAGATGCTTGTCTTCAATGAAAACAAGTCATTAAAAAGTGTTCTGGATAGACCATCTGCCAAACAAATGATGTTCTTAGCGTAGTTTGAGGCGAATAAGAGTTATCCACATGTAAGGGACTTGAGGTACGGAGATTTTCCACAGCAATTTGTGTATAAGGAGGATTCTTGCACTTGGGTGCCAAGATAAAAATGATTTTCTATTGGTAGGATTGCAAATGTCCCCCCTGCAAACGGGAAGACTATTACCTTAGGTTGCTACTTAACATCCAGAAGGCTGCACGTGTTACGAGGACATCAAAAAAGTTGCTGACTACTTCTACCCTGCGTTCAGGGATGCGTGTTATGTGTTGGGTTTGTTAGACGACGACAAAGAATACATAGATGCGATAAGAGAAGTGAATGCTTGGGCATTTGGGGATTATATAAGAAGATTATTTGCGGTTATGCTGCTTTACAATAGCTTAAGTCGGCCCGAACATGTTTGGCAAAGTTGTTGGTCGGGTTTGGCAGAGGGTATTGCTTACAAACAACAACGACTTCATAATAATCCATGTATGGCAATTTGTATAGAATATTATTCAATTAGATTTTAAATATTACTCATTTTTTTAATAGTCTCTTTAATTTTTGAACTAAATGCATATAATGTATCAATTTTTTGTGCAGATTTATCCATATCCGATGAAAGCTTGATGAACTATATTCTCACTAAAATAGAGAAAATATTGCAAAGTAATTGTAAAAGTCTACGTAATTATGCGCCTATACCATTTCCAATCGAATTGGGGTGGAGGACACAATAAAAATATTGGTCTTAGATGAACTGGATTACGACGGTTTGAAATGGGTAAAGAACTTCAACGGTGTCTTGCCCCAATTACAGACGAGCAAACAAAGGTTTATGATGTATTCATGGATGTTGTATCCAATGACCGTGGTAGAATGTTCTTTCTATATGGTCATGGTGGAACGGGAAAGACATTTCTCTGGAAAACTCTTTCGGCTGCAGTATGTTCCAAGTGAGAGATTGTAATTAATGTTGCATTGAGTGGTATAGCATCGCTATTGCTTCTCGATGGAAGAACAGCTCATTCTCGATTTGGATTTCCCATAAATGTACATGAGACTTCCACCTGCAGCATAACGCAACAAAGTCCACAGGTGGAGTTGCTGATTAGGACTAAGCTTATTATGTGGAACGAGGCTTCTATGATGCATATGAACTGTTTTGAAGCGCTTGACGAGATAATGAAGTCAGTATTACAGGTAGACAAACCGTTTGGAGGTAAGGTAGTTGTTCTTGGAGGAGATATTAGGCAGATTTTACCAGTTGTACTCAAAGCATCAAGGCAGGACATAGTACATGCTACGGTAAACTCCTCTCCGTTGTGGCATTTCTATCGTGTCATGAAGTTGAGTAAGAACATGAGATTGCAGTCATGTTATTCTCCATCTAATGTGGTCGAGGTAATAGAATTTGGGGACTGGATACTGAAGGTTGGTAATGGGGATGTTAGGGAACAAAATGATGGTGAAGCTTCGCTAGAGATTCCCGAGGACATGTTGATTGGTGATTCAGAGGATCTATTCAGAGACCTACTAAACTTCGTCTATCCCGATTTGTTGAGTAACATGTATGATCCAGATTATTTTCAAAGGAGGGCAATTCTTGCACCAACTAATGAATGCGTCGAGTCTGTGAGCGATTACTTAATGTCTCTCCTTCCAGGTGTGGAGAAGGTGTACCTGACCTCAGATAGTATGTGTAGGGACGAGCAAACAACGGAGGATAATGCAAAAATCTATTCGACTGAATTACTCAACACAATAAGATGCTCGAGGGGTTTCTTCTCATGTATTGAAGTCCAAGGTCAGTGCACCAGTTATGCTAATAAGAAACATCGATCAAGCAGAGGATTGTGCAACGGGACCAGACTTCAAATTATTATAATCGGCATTCACGTTCTGTATTGTAAACTTCTTTTCGGTGAAAATATCAGTGACATTGTGTTCATTCCTCGAATGACTTTAATACCATCTAACTCCGGACTGTCAATTAAATTACAGAGAAGACAGTTTCCGTTGATTGTTTCTTTTGCAATGACGATCAACAAAAACCAAGGCCAAACTCTTTCGCATGTTGGTTTGTATCTTCCTCGGCCTCTCTTCAGCCATGGTCAACTATATGTTGCACTGTCCAGAGTTAAGAGCAGAGGTGGCATTAAGATATTCATCAAGTGGGATTCGGGCGAACTCACCGATGTTACTAGAAATGTCGTCTACAAGGAAGTATTTCATCGAATTTGAAGGTTGAAAATATTTTCATATTTATGAGTTCTTCATGTAACATGTCTTGGTTTTTATTTTTTTTAACACCTTACGCTTTGGCAGGTCTATCTTTCCTATATGTTTTTCCCCGTGCGATGTTATTTTCAGTCATGTCCCTAGGATACTCAGTTCAAATCTTATTATCTTTAAGATTTATGTTTGTCGATATATTAATATTTAATATTATTCTTATATTGTAACCATGAAGAACATGATACTTATAACATTTTTTTTAATATTGTTGGTCGATGACGTTTTGTACTTAAATTAATGAGCGTAATAATTGATATCTACGTATATTTGTTTTACAGACATATATTTCCAGTTAAAAATATGCAGCCCCGTGCATCGCACGGGTGAATACTAATTTTGTTAAAGATGAGATGATGGCATATATGATTGCCATCTTGTAAAGAGAAAAAATAGGAGATATTCTACTAAAGCGGAACATGTTTTTATCAAACATAGTTATTTAGTCGAACATTTAGAAAATCATTTAAGAATAATTACAAAAAAAATGTAACTCGGGTTCTCTAGAATTGCCCCAACATTAATTACTTTTAAAAAAAAGAAACATAACTACAAATGACTAGTCTACTATAGTTATCTATAATTATTTTCAGTACAGTAAACATATAATAAAAAAATATTAGAAAACAAAACGATTTATTTATTTTAAAATAAATAAATTAATATATTCAAGAACAAATAAACTGACAGATTTTTATAATCAAAATTAAAAATTATAAAAAGAAAAAAAAAACTTCATCGAAAAAGCTAAATGCAGGACCAAAAATGTTAAATACATACAGAATAAATGTGAATGCAGTTCGACGAAAATTACGTATAAGGACAATATAATTAGGTTGGGTACATTACAAATAAGTCCATCATGGAATACTTATTCATGAATGGGTCCAGACAAAAATATTTTTTACAAAAAAGTATAGACATTGTCGAGATATGTGTAAAAGACTAAATACCCCTCACATTTAATATGCTCCAATATTATCCTTTAATTCCATTTAACCTCAATTTGACCCCCAAATTTCACAAATTATTCAATTTTGACTCAAAACTCAATTTTGAGGACAATGTCGCCCGTCGTCGCTGTTGAGCGTTGGTCTCCGACGTTAACTTCTTCTTTTTTTCTCCTGTTTTTTCCGCCGGTTTCCGACGTTGACCAAAGAAATGTACCCCTTTAACCTAGAATAATAAAGATGGTTGGTCAGAGACTTATGCATAAAAATACAATTAGATATGGGATCTAATAAAATGACTTTATTGAGGGACCAAAAGTGATCTAAAACAAATATGGGGACTAAAATTAATATAGTGAAATAGTATCGTGTAAAAAGCGTAAAAACCTAATAGGTCACGAGAAGAATCCACGAACCGACCCTACAGGTGAGAGTATAAAACAGAAACAAATAGGGCTTCGACTTTGTGTGGGCGAAAAGAGAGATTGCTACGGAGATCATCGGAGAGAGAGAGATTGGTACTGAGATGGGAAAGAGAGAGATTGGTACGGAGATCGGAGAGAGAGACGGTGATTATGACTCAGACGATGATATGGTAACCCTTCCTCTTTTTTAAATTTCTTTTTATTTAACAAAAAAGAAATTAAATAATGATAATGATATAGGGAGGTGGCACACTCTATTATGATCGAGACAACCCCGGATCTGGTGAGCCCAACGGCCTCCAATATTTCCAATCTATGGTCAACCTAGCAATTGATTTCTATAACAAAGATAAGGTATTTTTCTTTTTCTTTCTTTTTTTTTTAATTCCTTTAGATTTTTTTTATAACAAAGATTGGGGGGTTTGAAATTCAATCATGTTTATTAATAATGTTTCCAGGCGGAAAAAGAAAAATACAGTGTGGTGGAGTTGATAAAATTATTTGGAGTTGCCGGTGCCGGTGACTATTTGTCTTTGGACTTTACCGCCAAGCTTGAAGATTCCGACCCCATACCTTTCTATGCATCCATCTTGGACGGAATCCATGGAATTGATATAGAATATGTTGGTACCGATGCTCAATCTGCTATTTGACATGCCGATATATGTCTCATCGATCACCTTAGGTAATTAATTCATGATGTTATCCTCTTTAATTATTCATATACATTTATATAAAAGAATTGCGTAGTCAAAATCTAGATTCTTAGTTTATATTACAACTTAAGCAATTAAACAAATAGGAGTGTACCTTGCAATTTGATTGATGAAAAGACAAAATTAAAAAATTTAATGGTACATTGATGCTAGTAAGTTTTTCAGAGACGTAGGGAGTAACAAAAACGAGGCCCCATGGTCATACATACATATTTGCATTCTGAATAAATTTGTATGGAATTTTGTTTTTTAAACAAGCATCCTATTTTGAGTTCGTCTGTGTTATTAAATTAATTGTTTACGTATTAGTTTGTTTCATGCAAATATGACTACGCATTGATAATATGATAAATACAAAGTTTCTTGCTGGTAATATGTGACATTTTAAGGTAATTTATTTTCTTTGTTCTTCTTTAATAATTCGAGCCATTAGAGGAATAAAAGAAACAAAATAGGTATTAATTGTGTGTCTACTTTGAAGCTGCATTGAGATGAATTGCCATTAGTAGATGATTAAGTAGTTGATTTGGATAAAACAATATTTGTGGAAACGATAATTTTCAGAGCTATATAAGCATCATAAGATAAGTTAGCATACTGCAATGGATCAATACGTTGTTATTACATTTACTAAAAGAGCATACATAACATCTTTTAACATCCGTTCAGTTTTAGGTTTTAGGTACGTACAAACATTCATAACAGACTATTTATGAAATACTAAGACTCGCAAATGTAACTTGATCTATTATCTATTTTAACTATAGATTTATGGGTAAATTACAAACACCCCCCCGAGGTATAGTCAATTTACAAAAAAACCCTTTTGTTTGGATAATTACATCTACCCCCATCAACTATGTTTTTTTCTTACACCTCCACCCTTATGGTGTCAAATTCAACATAATCATCTAGATTTCGTGGAATGTGCTCTAGTTTGTACTCATTTTGTGTAAAAATACAGTTTCTAATGCACCACAATCTGATATATACAAGTCAAAAAACACATATTATGATCATCTTGCTTCAAAATGTAGAGTTCGAATGGGATAAAACGGGTACAAAAGTGATAATATTGCATAGAATCTCCAAGATTCCACTAAATTTGAGGAGTTGAGGGAGTGGTTGTAATTATCCAAACAAGAGGGTGGTTTTCATAATTTGACCATACCTCAGGGAGGTAGTTGCAATTTACCCTTGATTTATTTGATGCCAAACTTTAAGCATGAACCACAATATATGATAGTGAACCACAGTATATGATAGTGACTCAGTATAGTTCACCTATAAGTTGTATGGGCAGCTTCTTTCAGTTGTGTTATTGGATTTTTGCGTTGCAGTTTTTCCAGTGTGTGCATATATTTCTCTAACACCTTCCGGTATTTCCAATTTGCAGGTACTTCTAATTTGTAGGTATAAGCAGATTCCGTATAACCCTAACGGAAGTTGGTGTCGCGTTTTGCATATCTAATATATATATATATATATATATATATATACCCTCAAAATATTACATTTGAGCTATGATTATTCATTACGAATTTCCCTCATATATATTCCCACATGAAGATATGCAATAACCAAAAAATAATTTATTAATTGATTAATAATCAAAAAAAAATTATGAAGTCTTATCCACTAACTTACTCGAGCATGTCACCTGGCGAGGACTTGACATAAACAAAATTTATAAACTCCTCATATACAAAAACCAGAAACTATACTCGGGGGTTATTTATCAGATTATTTTGAGATGTGGATTTTTTTTTTTTTTTTTTGATAAATAGTTTACACCAAATAAATAATACATCTATGCAACTATCTTGTTTTGAGTAAACTCGTCCATAATCATGTTTGAGTTAATCCACCCACCCCTAATTTTTAATTTGAGGGTTTTGTAAGATTTGGTTATGGGATTTTGTGGGTTTATGTGTTCATTGATGAAGACGAGTGTTTGTGGATTTGTCTTGCATTAAGAATGTTTGTATCCAAAAAAAAAATCGTTTATAAATGGGGATGGATGGTTACACTCTTCTCAATATTGAAAGTCGGTTGCGAGATTGACTTAGGTCCCGTTTGATTGAGGATATTAATTAAATACTAAATAGTACTGTTTATTTTGCTTTATTGTTAATTTTATTATTTTTGGGATCACAAAAATAATTTTGTCATTACTTAATTATTATAGCTAATTAGGCGATAACTAATTGGATTTAAAATAATTGTACTTTGATAAAACACGGTAATGATAAAATTGTCCTAATAGTTTTCCTCTCTCTATCACAATGCCATATTCAACTGAAAATATAAAATAAATTAATTAATTAAAAAATAATAACTACATAATCTTTTTTTTTTTGGAAAATATAATCTCGAAAGCTTATATTATCTTATAGTATCTTGACAATCAAAATGGGCCTTAATCCTTATTGTATAATAATTGTATGATCGCAAAGCTAACGTTTTGAGGTGTTACACAAATATTAAGAAAATCAATAAATGTGCATAATAGATTACAGCGAAAAACACAGAAACATTACTAAAATATTCTTAATAATAATTAATTCACAACTAATTAATTAGGAGCGATAAAGGATAAAATTGTAAGTAATTTAATTAATGCTTCATTGAAAATCGAAAATGACAAATAATTTGGAATAAGAAAAACTCTTTGGTCGGAGTGAGTATTTAAACAATACTTCATCTGTACCCAGGGGCGGACCGTGAGACATTTAGGTGGGGGGGGCTGAACGTATGATAAAAATAATGAAAATATAAACAATATAAAAATAAATAAATAAATAAATGTGGTTTAATTTTTTTTTTTGACAATAAACCAAATCTTCAAATAAATACGTCCAAAATAATACATCATTTAAGTTGTGCTCTACGTTTTTTCTTCGAATAGAATTCATCTATTATGGAATCTGTACTAAAAAGATCAGCAATTTCCCTTTCAATATGTAGAAGCATGCAATCTCCAAGGAACCCATCTTCCATTTTGTTCCGAATTCTAGTTTTGGTAAGCTTCATAACAGAAAAAGCTCGTTCTGTGGTAGCAGTAGACACCGGAAGAAGTAAGATCAAACGAATCAACCTATCAACTAGATAATATACTTTGGATTTTCCCGTCTTTGTTAATCCTTCGCATAGTGCTGCAAGAGTAGACAAATGACATAGGTCTTGATGCTTAGTCATGTCAAGATGATAATGGTGCAATTGAAACTTCAGGAGGAGCCTATCTTGTTCTGTGAAATCTGCAGGATAATATTTCTCAACAAGAGTGCAAATATCATCTACTTTAAAGGACTTGAATGAATCACTTGGGTCCAAAGCACAACTAAGAGTTAAAAGTTCCATTGTTTGCTCATTAAATCTGCAATTTAACTCTTTCATCTGTGTGTCTATGGTAGTCACAAATATATCAAAATGAAAATGATGCTCCATCGTGATATTAGTATCTCGTGGCTGGTGAATCGACTTCCCCCGACCTACTTTATGAGTAGAATTCATATCAGGCATCTCAACTTCATTACTTTGGCAAAATAAATTAACATCATTTAAAAAACTATTCCACCCATCATCTCTCAAATTTTGAAGAAGTTGTTTTGTTGTTGAGACTAAATGCATAGCATTCAATATGTCTTGGGATCGTTGTTGCAAAGCTTGACAAAGAACATCAGTAACTCCCATTATCCTTTCCATCAAGAGTAAGATAAAAACAAACTGAAAAGATGTCATGGCAGTATAAGCAGAATCAGCGTCACCGCGTTGGGAATAATTTGCTCCATCAGATATAATGGTTTGAAGCACACTCCCAGTAGCACTAAACATTTTCTTCAAGCTACACACAGAAGAAAAGTGGGAACCCCAACGAGTATTTCCAGCTCGTTGTAAATTGCCAATTTGATTAGCTCCACTACCAGTTTCAAGTTCATTAATTGATATCAAACGAGAAATTTCAGCTTGTTGTGCAGTAATTAACTCACCGGTTCTCTTACAAGAAGCGCCCACAATATTTACAATGGTGTCCAACTTTGAAAAAAATTGATGAACAAGAATTACCTCTCTTGATGCCGCCACTAATGCCAACTGAAGTCGATGAGCAAAACAATGTACGTAATATGCATACGGACAATCTTTCAAAAATAATGCTTGTAATCCGTTCCATTCGCCACGCATATTGCTTGCACCGTCATAACCCTGCCCTCGAAGATTATCAATACTTAAAGCATGATGAGAAAAAAATGTTGAAAGTTCATGTTTAAGAGTCAACGAAGTTGTGTCTTTGACACTTACGATATCAAAGAAACGTTCTTGGAGAACACCTATTTTATCAACAAATCTTAAAACAAGAGCCATTTGTTCCTTTTTCGATTCGTCTCGTGCCTCATCAACAAGAATACAAAACTTAGAGTCACCAATATCTTCTCGAATTTTATTTCTCACCTTAGAAGCAATAATATGCAATATCTCCTTTTGAATTGTCGGAGAGATGTACTTGGCAGTGGGAGGAGCTTTATCTAAAACAGTTGCAGCTACTTTTTCTTTATAATTTGCCAAAAGCTTCACCATCTCGCGAAAATTACCTGAATTTTTTGACGTTGGGCCTTCATCATGGCCTCGAAAAGAACATGATTGATATGCAAGCCAACGAACACAGTCAATTGAGGTTTTAAGCCTCAAACGATTATTCAATATTTCTACCGATGACTGTCTTTGCATGACCTTGTCTATATGCGCAGATTGATTCATTAGACCCTCGCATGATTTTAAAGAAACACAATGCTGGGAATTATGGCCTCCAATATGGCGTAAAAAAGCACAATTTTTTCCTTCATTTACTTTCTTCCAATTTCGAAATCCTTCCACCATAAATGTATTCGCGCCAAAACGTACATTTGTCTCACTAGCAAAAATAAAGCATGGCAAACAATAAGCAGCATCTTTAGTCGGAGAATACTCTAACCAAGCCGGAAATTTGGAAAACCATGCATACTGAAATCGTCGACGATTGCCTTCATTACCTGAGTAAGGATATTCAGGTAAATAAAATTGATATGGCCCTAACTTGATATAAGTACGGCGAATTTCGTCCTGTTTTTCGACAGGATACATCCAAATTTGAGGTCTTTTTCCCGGATCACGTTCCAAATAATTGATATCAAATTCTTCATTAAGCATAACCCCAACTGTTGTAATAGCTGTTGTAATAGCCGGTTCAGGACGTTCTTGTTCATGATCGAGAGAAGAACTATCAACATTAGATGTTGATGATTCTTTTTTATTACTTTGGAAAAAGGCGTGAATCGTATTATTTTTCAATCGTTTGGGTTGATTCGAAGACATTAGTACAATCGACCTACAATAAATTTCAAAGAATTCAATATAGTAAAAAATAAAAGCCCTTTAAATAAATTTTATAAATAAAATCATCTATGCTTCAATAAAATTCTTACATATAATTAAAGAATAAGAAATAATAAAATAAAAAAGATAAAAAGAGATGAAGAAGTTTGATAATTACCGTGAGATTTTTCTTCAATGGAACGAGGTGAAGAACGTGTGAAGAAGATACGGAGATGAGAGAATTAAAAGGGAAGAAACCTATTGTTAAACCAATTCCTATTTTAATAAAATTTTATTTGTTTTAAAACTCTTTCTTGAATTGAAATACAATTAAGATATTATTATATATTATTTACTAATTAATAAAATTTTCCAATTTTACTTTTTCTCGGCAGTGGCCTGATAACTTTATTTCTTTATCTTCCTTCCTTTTGTATTAATATATAATTTATATTAAATACTTATAGTGTAATTATATATATGTATATATAAGTAATATTTTTTTTCCAAATTCTTGGGGGGGCAACAGCCCCCCCTTCCCATACTGAGAATCTGCCCCTGTCTGTACCATAATAACTGTCTAGTTTTTAAAATATTTGTGTTCCACATTATCTGTCACTTTAGATTTCCAATACTGCATTAAATGCATTTTTTCCTATTTTAACTAGGGTTGTTCATGGGTCGGTTTTACCCGACAACCGACCCACTATCGGCCCGACTTTTGTGGCCGATAATTGCCCACCAACCGACCCGCTCTGGTCGGGCCGATAATTTTAACCGACCCATGTTTAGTTGGGTCGGGTATAGTTTCTAATATGATGAAAAGTCGGTTGGCCGATATTACCCGACCAACTGACTTTTTTTTTTTATTGCTGACTTTTTTTTATATTTTTGTATTTTGTATTGTTTTTTTAATTTAAAGTCTGTAATTTGAGATACATCTTGAAACTTGATTTTGGGATGTAGTTTTATAATTGTTAGGGGATGAATTTTAATTAGGCTAAGCAAAAAATCTAATTTTCTTTTTTTTTTTTTAAATTTACTGTGGCCGATAATTTGGAACCGAACTATTTCGGCAACCGACAAAGTCGGTTGCCAACCGTTACCCGACCCATAATAGTCGGGCCGATAATGGTTTTACATTTTTGCAATAGTCGGTTGGTCGGGTCGGGCCGATAATCGGCCGATATTCAACCGACCCGACCCATGAACAACCCTAGTTTTAACCTTATTAATTCAACTATAAGTATTAACTCTCTCTTATCACATCATTAAATAATCAAGGGTATTTAAGTCTTTTTAATATATTTGACCTAAAATCAAGACACATTTATTGAGCTTCTTAATACTTGTGCAAAGCAAAAAACAACACTTAAATAGGAAACGGATGGATAATTAATTAGTAAAACGTAATGAATTAAAAATCCCCCAAAAAAATCAACATGAAATCAAAGTCTAAAAATCTAATTAGCTAGGGAAAAGAAAAAAGCATCCAAGAAAAGCCGGAAATATAATATAATGCAGCAAGCTAAGCAGCATCACATGAAAAGGACTCCAACAAGCATGGGAAAGAACACGGGAAGGGCGGCGGCGGCGGAAGCTGGGACAGGAGAAGAGTGATCAGGAGCAGGCTGCGGCGGAGATGCTACCTCCAAAACTTTGACGACCATTTTGAGACCCCTTTGGCAGTGGCCGGAGACACCGCTAATGAAGTAGAACAATCCAGGTCGGTCAAGAGTGAAAGTGGTGTCCCCGTTGTTCGAGAAGAATATCGGGTGTGCCGATCTGCATTTCTCGTACTCTTCTTCCGTCACCACCAACACTGAATCCTTCTCGTACGCAAACTCTGCATGCATTTATTTCGTCCATTCCAAAATAATATTAGAAAAAAAAATAATAGTCTTATATCTTATATATAAAAGAAAGAAATTATACTTTGGGGTTGACTTACTTAGGGTATCGTTGACCTTGAACCTGTTCTTGGAAGCCCAGTCATTGTACATCTCCTCATCCTCTGGAGTGGCCCATCCTTTTTCACCTCCAACATCTAACCCTACACACTCCACTGTGTGTAAACTACTCATCACTACTGCTATCAATACAACAATTAAAGGGACACAGCTGAAATATTTATATTTGTTGCTGCTGATTATGGAAGTAGCCATTGCTGGAATGTTTTTCTTTTCTTTTCTTTTTTTCTTTTTTTGTTTTGTTTTTATGAATAGAGAGAGTTTCTATTTACTTGCTGCTAAAAGGCAATTGCACTTAGGCACTACTTATAAAGACTTTGGTTATAGTGTGAGCAAATTAAAAAGAAATAACAAAAAAAGAGAGATTTGAGGAGATATATGTGGCTTGGTGGGCGGGTGCGGTTTAGGGTGAGAGAGAGAGAGAGAGAGAGAGAGAGAGAGAGAGAGAGAGAGAGAGAGAGAGAGAGAGAGAGAGAGAGAGAGAGAGAGAGAGAGAGAGAGAGAGAGAGAGAGAGAGAGTGACCAGGTCAAATATGTGAGTACAACCCAAATGTACGTAAGACTCTGTAATGAAACAACTGCATGAAACAACTGCACCGAATAATATTTTGGTGTTTGAGAGAAAATAGTGATATATATATATATATATATATATATATATATATATATATATATATATATATATATATATATATATATATATATATATATATATATATATATATATATATATATATATATATATATATATATATATATATATATATATATATATATATATATATATATATATATATATATATATATATGTATATGTGTGTATGTAGAGATATATAGAGTGAGAGTGAGAGAGAGAGAGAGAGAGAGAGAGAGAGAGAGAGAGAGAGAGAGAGAGAGAGAGAGAGAGAGAGTGAGAGAGTGATATATATATATATATAAATAAAGAGCGAGAGATAGAGAGATATATATATATATATATATATATATATATATATATATATATATATATATATATATATATATATATATATATATATATATATATATATATATATAGCACGATTTGAGGAGATATATTTTGACCAAGTAAAAAATATTTATTCATCTCTGACTTCAAATTAGTCCATATCTCCCTTTTTCAGTTTCATCCTACCCTCAATCATTTTTCCAACACAAATAATTTACCCCAAATGCTCCTAATTTTAAAACAAATCATTCTATATTTCACTATTATTTCCTATAACTTTAACGTAATTAGGTTGATTTTGAACCATATTAATTATTCTAGTAAAATTTTAAATTAATTATTTAAAACCTTAACTAAATAGCTAAGTTTTCATATTATAAATATTGTCCATTAAAATTCGAAGAAACAGTACCCATGAAATTGAAATCAATTAGAAAGATAAGGAATAATTTTCAATATGTACATTGTTCGTTTTCTTTTGTCACGCAATGTGGTAATTGTCTAGCTCATAAGATAGCTTATATGATTGTTCTCGATTATTTGGAAGGACCTACCCTTCCCCCATTTTTGGCCGGTGGTGCCGAAAAATTTCTCCTCTATCTAAAAAAACTAATAAGTAAAAAATAAATACATATAATATCTAGATAGAATATACATTATTTTATAGTATTTAAAATATAACAATAAATAAATTAAATTTAGTCATATGTGTTATTTTAATAGAGGATAGCACAAATTCTATATTGGTATGACATTATCCAATTGGGCCGAATCCAATTGGTATTACTTTTTAATTTCTCCAAAAGACCTCATACAAATAGAGTTGTTAACCCATATTATAAACCATTGTCATTTCCATTATTAAATCAACGTGGGACTTTGGTTTGCACCTCAACAATAATCCCCTCGAACAAAGGACCACATAGGTCGGACCACAAAGAACCACCGAATCTCTCCTCAATTTTGCGCCATGGAGCTCACACATCTTTGTTCCACGCACCAGGCCTCGAACAAAGGAACGGCGAGCTTTCCACCTGGAGCTCGTCGAGCCGCTTGCCATTTGCGCAATAGGAGCTCACCGTATTTGTTCGACACCGAGGATTCCGGCAATACATAGATTTCGGCAATTTCCACCACATGGTTAAGTCTGGGTCGTTGCTATGATACCACTGTTGAATGACCATCAACCAAAAGTTTAAGTTGTTAGTGAAATGTATCATTTAATATTAATATCTTCAATACGCCTACTCAAATACAGACGAATTATATTTAAAGACTTGCACTTGCAATATTTGAAATGGGAGCAACTCTAATGCTAGGCATAAAAATTAAGTTATCAAATATTCATTTGATATTTGAGATAATATTTTGATATTGATTTAAAATTCAGCATTCAACATTCAAGGCTTAATCGTATCAAACGAAGTCTAAGCCGGAGTATTTAGAGGGTCAGTTCGGGGCGAGAATATTTAAATGTTTTGAAAAATTGTCATTATTTTTCAAAAAGATTGTTACTATTTTTCAAAAAACTGGTTAATATTTTTATACAAATTGTTAGTATTTTTTAAACAAATTGTTAATTTTTTCCCCTTTTCTTTAAGGGTGTTACTATTTGCAGCGGGACTTTTACTGAAATTGGCTTATTTGCAGCGGTACCTTTTTCATTTTTTTTTTTAATTTATCTCTCCTATTCCAAACACTCTCTAGAAATTCGAATTTCGTAAAAAAATTTGAATCTCCCGTTTTCTGGAGCACGGAAACTCGAAGAAAATTCAAGTTTCCGTGCTCTGCGGAACGGGAGATTCAAACGGCTTGAATCCTCCGTTCTGCAGAGCACGAGAACTTGAATATTCTTCGAGTTTCCGTGCTCCAGAAAACGGGAGATTCAAATTTTCGTGCTCCAGAAAACGGGACCTTCAAACTGTTTTTTGAATTTTTATTTTCGGAAAAAAAATAAAAAAAATTTAGATATGAATCTCCCGTGTTGTAGAACACAGGAACTTGAATAATCTTCATGTTCCCGTGTTCTACAGAACGGAGGACTCAAAAAACATGAGGTTCCCGTACTGCAGAACACGGGAACTTGAAGATTATTCAAGTTCCCGTGTTCTACATAACGGGAACTTGAAGTTTTAATATTTTTTTATTTTTTTTAATATTTTTTTCTAAATATCGAATTTTCTAATTATTTGAGGAACATGATAACACATATTCGGATTATTGTACTCGTTTGTACATTCATCATCAAATTTTTCGTCAAAATCACCATCATCACCCTACCAAATTATAAAAAATAATAATATAAAGGAATATAAAAATTAATAATACAAAAAAAAAAAAAAAAAATTAGAAAATTGAAACCCAAGTTCCCGTGCTGTACAGCACGGGTAACTCAATTAGCATTTCAGCACGGGTACTTTATCGGGGAAAGGATCATGAATTGGTCTTCTGGTAATAATGCGTCGGCACTCATCATCCAAAGGTTATGTATATGGTTATGGGTACCATAAGTCTGCCGGGGAAATACTAAAGCACTCACAATCCTTCTCAACTCAAAGTTCTACTTCCGTAGTTAGCCGTATTGAAACACTCGAGCATAAGATGGATGAGGTGTTCCAGAAGTTAACTGAGTTGATTGAGATGGAAAAGAGGAAGTCGACCGAAGATACAAATATCGGAAACTCGGCCATACGTTGAGATACTATACATGACTATTGAACTTGTTGTAAACTATAGTCATGTGTAGTATACTTTCAGTTCAGTAATTTTATCAAAATTTGAATTTATAAAAGAAAAAAAAATAAAAAAAAAATAAAAAAATAAAAAATATTAAAAAAATCGAAGAATTAAAAAAATCAAAATATTAAAAAAAAAATATTTTATAAAAAATACAATGATAACAAAAAAGGTACAATATATATACAATAATAAAAAAATAATTAAAAATAAAAATGATGATATATGCAGTATATGCATGTCCAAAATGATAAATGCAGTAGATGAAAATGCTGAATGCAGTTTGGCGAAAATTACAAAGGGCACAATAGTACTTTTGCCGATCCAGGAGTATTTCAAAGGAAGATTTTTAGGGGTGAACCTATGCCTATATATCTTCTTCCATATGGGGGTGTATATCAAATGGACCCAAAACACTATTTATATGTTATATTATAGATATAGACAACCGATTTTAGACACAACACATGAGTAAACTGCAAAAACTACCCCTGTATAATCTCGAAATAGCAAAAATCCCTCTGTGATAAATAAACTAGCAAAAATCTCCCCTGTGAAATTATTTAAATAGCAAAAACCCCCCTGTGGAACTATTTGAGGGTTGACTTGATATAAAAAGACACAAATACCCCTGAAGTCTTGCAATTAATAAATTCTTTTATTTTATAAATATTTTAATTATTTTATTTAAAAAATAATCAATTTAGTTGTTTACTATTTTTTTAATTTCTAAACAAATAAATTAAAAAGAATAAATATACATATAATATGTATATATATAAATACATTTTGAGGGACAATTTTGTCATTTCAAGTCTAAAAAATCAGCTAGGGGGGATTCTGCCTTTGAATAAATTTCACAGGGGGGTTTTTGCTAGTTTATTTATCACAGGGGGGTTTTTGCTATTTCGAGATAACACAGGGGTAGTATTTGCAGTTTACTCCACAACACATCCCAAAACTACATGTACGGATGCGGGGTGCAAATAGCCTTCCTAGTAAACATTAAAAACACGACTAGGGTTCGACTTCACTAATTCATCTTCTTCCAACTCCACACAACTCAAACCCAAAAAAGAGCGGGAGATATTCTCGCACACTTGGAAATGCCCAGCGGCGGCGTTCGAGAGCTTACCGTTCTTACCGAGTTCAAGCCTTTCGGTTTGACCGTCGAAGCCCTCGACGGCAGCAATTACTCCGACGATGATTTCAATTATATACTCTTCGATTCCCAACTCCCCCAACACAGAGATGATGCCGACCACGAGATTGATGATGCTTCCGCATTGTGCATCGAAGGGAGTGATCACGAACTTTTCATCAGAAGAAATAGGTTAAGCCCCCAATTTCTGAATGGCTGATTATAATTTTTTTTTTCCTGATTTCGAATAATTGATTTTTTTGGTATTGGCTGACAAGACTTTTGTAATGTTATGGGAGTTGATTAGATGCCATGTTAAATTCTGCCTCATTTGAGTATCGATCAACTGTTTACTGTAGGAAATTGGCAATTTTTTATGAGTTTGTCAAATATGAATCTTTTCGATCCCTTTGCTCTGAATTTATAGAATATAAATTAATATGAAATTAATCTTCTTTATGTGTAATGAAGTAGAATGGAGGCCATTTCGCAGTTAGAGAAGGAAATTATCTTTCAGTTCGAAGATTGCTACTTTATGAGTACAATTTTGAACTTCCATTGTTTGAGTATAAATAAGAATAATTACGTACTCAATAGATTATGATACAGCGTTGTGCTTTTTTGGAATGCAAGTGGCAAGAAATTTGCTATGAATCCCGCAGCAATTTATAGGGCTTGGTGTGTAAAAGTATGTGAAACTTATTTTATATTTCTACCTATGGTGGAAATCTGTAGAACATAAGTTTTAAGACGTGAAGAATTTAACCATGGACAATTTGAAATTGCAACAGGATCATATGGAGTACGGGCCCTAGAGTTTATAAGAGGTTTACATTGCCCTCCAAAGTCATCAAGGTGATCGGCAACATTATAATTTATAATCCTTGCTATCTTCTGCATGGAAAACTAGTCTAGTTTTCCCTTTGCTGCTTTGCATTTCTTTTCCTTTCTGTCTCAGTGAATGGTTATCTTTTCTGTTGATCACAACTGAGTTCTTGTATATGTATCCTTCTTATGTCATTATTTGCATTGACAGGTAAGACATCCATAAGCACAACCTAGTTATTGTTTTTTTCTTTTTGAGTTTGTTCTCAGTCTTTTGCTACTGTATTCTCCCAAGAAAACAATCTAAAACACAGTTGTATGATTTTTGAGCATTTAGATGTGCCTCCTAATTTTTTTGTTCCTACTTCTCTTTGGATATACCTTAATTCTAGGGGGTACCAGAGTGGTCTATTCTAAAATATTTAAGAGCATCAAATTTTCCTTTGGATTTGCTGCATTATGTCCAGCTTCTTTATCTTAAATTCCCTTTTTAATGCTGTCTGGACGTGTTCAGTTTTTCACATATTCTATTTGCAGTTGCCTATTTTTGCTTTGATTGGCTTATTCTTTGACTTTGTAGGTTACTGCACTATTACATGTAGTTTAGAGTGTGATAATATGTTCAAAAGTAGAAATATGGGAACGTTATTCTTGTCAACTGCACGACTATGTATTTCCTTATGTTTATAACCCCAAGGATTATGTGGTTTGTCGATAAAAGTGGAAAAATTGTTGGGGTTTGTATGTTTGGTGGCACTAGCAATAACTACCCTTTTCTACGTGAACAATAGTCCGTGATAGCTTAACTTGGTCCAATTTCTTGGAAAATGCAAGGTAAGTGAAAGTTAGTCCAATTTGTTGGTCCAATAGTCTGTTAAGTATTTTCAGTATTTGAATAATGCTAAGAAGAATTGAATAATAATCACATAAAAGCTATTGTTCAATTGGGGATTCATGGATCTTCATGTATGAGAACCCATTTCTCTGACCAGTGTTTAGAGTAACTGAGAAGAAGAAAGCTAATATGTTTTCTGTCTATACCCACGTATGAACTTAGTTTCTATTACTGTCTCCACTTTATTGGGTTTGACGGTCTGGTGCATGCTCCAAATTTGTAGGTATGCTGGTGCAGAATGGGTGATATGTCTGAAGCTTTAATATGCGTTCTCCAACTTGATAGGTTAACTATCTACGGTATAGCAGGTGAGCGAGTCATTTATTTTTCCCAGGTTTTCAGAAAGTATTGTGCTCCTTAATATTCCACTTTTAAAGTGTTAATCTCTTAGTTACAATTTAACCACCATGAGTTTTTATTGGATATAGTCTCATATTGTGATTATGCTAAATCTCAGTGGACAATTGTTTGAAACTGTAAACTAGGGGAGTCAAGCAGTTAGTTGTTGATATTACCCATTGTTGTTTCTATTTTCTTGTTTAGGTGCTAGTTCTTAGGCTGCATTTGTACCTTGATGCTTACTTTGTCTTTGACAAGGGAAATTTGAGGATGTTGTTCTACAGGTGAAATGGTTTCAATCCCGCTTCCTCATCCCGTGACATCAATCTGGCCTCTTCCCTTTGGTTTACTTCTCCAGCGGGCACCTGAAGGGAGCTTACTAACAAATATTTCATTATCATCTTCAAACCCATATTTAAGTGCACGTGATGTTTTCCGCCAAAAAAGGGATATTGGATACAGTCCTCAACATAGTTATACTCCGCCCCACATATATGATATGAGTACAAGAAATGAGAGAACATCAGTATCCTCCCACCTGATATTGAAGGATCCCTTAGAAGATCCTCAGGTATTGATCTAACTTACTTTTGTTGTTCGAACAAATTTGCATTTACGTTGTATGTTAATTCCATTATGTCATGTTTCAAAGACTAGTCTATATTTAAAAAGTAAAGTTTCAGTCTCTGTTTATTTTGGAAATTATAGTTTTGCGTGGTTACTTAGGTAACTTATATTGAGGAAAGAGGGAAGTTGAATCTGATGTGGGAATTTGACGAAAGAACAATTTGGACTAGCGATTGCATGCCTCTGATGGCATCATATAACAAAGGTAGGTAGATCCAATTTTCTGTTATTTAGTTCTACTTCCCCCCTTTCTGATAGAGTCATTAAAAGGAGATATACATATGCTTTTTAGGGAAGATGCAGCACTCCCTGTGGGTCGTAGAAGTCAATAACTCCAGCCCCCACGGGGCGAATCCAAAATCATCTGATATGATTGCTCCTGGGATGTTAGCAAAGCATTTTTTCCGACGGATATGGCAGGGGAAGGTTTCACAGACTGCTGCCAGTAAGGTCCGCAACTTATTATTTTCTCTTGCTACCTTCTGGAAGAAGGCCCTACCAAGAGCACTTACTATTTCTACGTGTAGCTGTATTATTGTCTGAATTTAATTTATATTTTGAAATTCCCAACTGATCATAAGAATACCATGTTTAGGGAGCTTATATTAGTTCTGATATCCTCAATTTGTCTGCTTTGGATTCGGTTGATGTATTGATGAGTTACTTTTAGGTTCATGAGTTAGTGCTGCATATAAAAGGTAAACACGTCAAATAGATCTGGATTATAAATTATGCATGATTCCTGAGTAACAGTAATTTTCTTTTAACTAAAGATTTAAACCCTTTTAAAAAGTGAATATAGGGGAAAGGGTGTTTGACCCCACTTCTCTAAGCAAGTCCAGGTATTAACTCTCCTCGTGAGAGTACATAGATCATTCGACTCGATATAAGCTGATATGAGTTTTGTCGTTTTCTTCATCTTCCGAAATAGGTGTTTATTGTATGCCAAATTAAGACAGTGAAACGGAAGTCTTACGACACTTTAGGCATTTTATCACTGGAAGATTGTTTGCTGGATATTGGGGTTAGATTGTAAGGTTTTACTTTAGAAATCATTGTTTGTGGCCGGATAGGACCTTCTTGGAATGTTTGAACTTTTTTCTGATAACGAATGGGCAGTTTTTTAAAATCGTCCCTTGAATGTTGTTTACCTAATTGTAGTATATATCTTGTTTCTTGAATGACATTATTTTTGTTTTGTATAACATCATATTTGTAGGTCAAGTACCTGATGTTACTGTTTGCTTCACGTTTCCTCCACATCTTGACTTTTTGTTGACTTCGAATGATTATATTAGGTTTTTCTGGCAACTGACGACGACGTCACACCTATTATATGCTTTCTTATCCAAGAACAAAAGAAATTGTTATCTTTAAGGCTTCAGAATTTGGAAATAAACAACGAGACAGTCTATGATATTAAGCCTGAGATGAGTTGGACCATACCAGCAATTGCTGCCGCTGCTGTTACTGTCACTCGGCCCAAGTATAGTTTCTTATTTTCTTCTGTTAATTTTTGTCTTTTCCAATTCGTACAATGACTTGAGCATACCTTATGCAGAAAAAAGGTGGGACAACTACCCCTTAGGGATATCATTGCTTTGACTCCAGAAAACACACTGCTTCTCTATGTAAGTTGTAGGATCCTTATTCTATCTCAAGGAATTGTTTCCATCTTCACCAGATAAGTGATCTTGTTACATGATAGCTTGTCTGTTATCTGGCACTTGCAAGGTGTTAAGAAGTTGCTCTTTTTTCCTTTTTCATTGCCTAATATCAATTTATGCTGCATCAAATCACTAGTATTTTCCAAATTCCACGCCTTACCCTATTGTACTTTAATTTTCAACTGAAATTCTTTCTCTGTGCGTATTGAGTTTGTTAACAGCGTCTCCCTTTATAACTGCAGGCGGGGAAGTTATGCTTGTGCAAATACGTTATGCCTTCTCCCCTGGATAAAGAAAAGCTTTTGAGCACAATGAAACCTTCAGAAACAAATAACATCATGCGTGCTCTAGAAGTTGTAGATTTAGCTGATGCTGTGGAAGGGCGAGTAAACTTAGTTCTGAACAATGGAAAGGTTTGGACAGACATAAAAATTGTCGTTTGGAATATATCAAATGCTATTTTTACTAAAAGTAATGGGACGAGATATAAAATTGATACCTGTTACCACTGGTTTTTCAGGAGCTTGTTATTGTCATTATATAGACAAAATGTGCAAGAAAATATTTTGTACTTTTATGGTGTGACTGGTTTTCATAAAGAAAAAAAGAATTCTGAGGCGAAGAAAGTTGTTCAATTACTTGCTGTATTCTTTTATGACAGACAATATGGCTGCTGTTCCTTTGGAAATCGACATTACGTTTCTGTTTTTTGATTGAGCTGCAATGTAGCAATCAGGTTTATTTGGATATCTGGACATAAATAACAGAGAAAAGAAAATACACTAAAACAAACAGAGTTTTTTCTGATCTATCCGCGATACTTAATTTGATAGACAATTGATTTTTGTTATAGTCCATTCTATTTGCTTTTAATACCAACCTCTGATAATAGTGATACTAATTGTTCTAATATATTTTTTTTCTTCCTGCTTTAGAGTTACAGATGTACATTTCGAAGGAGTCCTTCATCATCTCTAACTAATGATTGTATCACAGCAATGGCAGAAGGGATGAGTTCTAGTTTATACAGTCATTTCCTTGGGCTTCTATGGAGTGATAACAATTCTACATACTTAGATAAGGCAGATTCTGGTGCTGACTCAGAATGGGAGTCCTTCCGCAATGTGATTACAAAATTGTGCGGAAATCATTCTAATGCAACCTCTAGACTACTCTCAGATACAGTTTCACATTCATCCTGGGAGTTTCTTATCCAGAGCAAATATAATCAGCGATATTTTGAAAGCAATTATGTAGCTGGTGCTTTTCCTGGATCATCATCTGACTTGCAGGGATTACATTCATCTGCTGCTGTTCTAGCTGAAACCCAGAATACCAAGGAAACTTGCTTCCGGAAATTGCTGAGTGACACATTGGATTCGTTGCATGCAGTATATGAAACGCTTAAACTTGATAATCTTCGTAGAAGGTGTGTAACTTCGCTGCTATTATCTTTTTTATATCGTGTCTTTATCAATCTCCATGGAGCTTTATGTTTCCTGTCTATACTATAGAACAACTACGCATGTAAAGAGCTCATAATTCTGTAATGCATCAATTATAAAATAGAAAGCCTATGTTTGTATTCGTTATTTCATGACTACGGACTTCATTATGTTCCACTTGATTCTCATGCGAAATGGTTAGTCCCATTTATACATTTATTTCATGACTCCGGACTTCATTATGTTCCACTTGATTCTCATGCGGAATGGTTAGTCCCATTTATACATTTGTTGACGTAGATGTTTTTCTCTTTCTGTAGGGATCTGGGGCTTCTGGTAGTTCTCTTGTGTGATATTGCCTACTTCTTGCATGAAGTGAGCTACTTGGATCACTATAAACGTGATTTTCCTAGACTACTGAAAGACTTTGGGATGTCTCAGTACCTCTCTACCTCAAGAAGTCCTCCAAGTTTATTCAGATGGCTTGAAAACTGCTTGCAGCATGGATGTGGTTCTGCCAATATTTGTGATCTCCCGCTTCTGATATGTAAAGAAGGAACTTCGATTGTGAACTGGGGCAGGAAGATAGTTTCTTTTTACAGTCTCTTGTGTGGAGCAGACCAATCAGGAAGGAGTCTATCGTCTGGCGTTACCTGTAATATTGCCCCTGGATTATATCATACTCCAGAAGAGCTGGTAGTTTTGGGAATGGTTGGTGAGAAATTTGGCTTGCAACATTTAGACTTGCTGCCTGCAGGTGTCTCTCTTCCATTGAGGCATGTAAGTTGACACCACACAATGATGTTAGTTCCAATTTATTCCATGCTTTGTAGAAATCATTTAGCTAATGTTATTTCATGCGGTCATGTCTCAGTATTACTAATAGTCAGTATATTTGTGCCTATTGAATGCCTACCTCATCTTATTTTAAGATCCGGCACTTGTTTTTTTTTTCTTTTTTCAAAATTGTGTGATAGTGAGGTTTGAAGCTAGATTCTCCCTCTTTGGCCGTAGTTGAGTAACTTATGATAGCCTCCATAATTGTAATAAAACTGTACATGGATAATAAATAAATAAAATCAAATTCAAAAAAGAAAAGAAAAAGTAATAGCAACTACTATGACTTTCTACAGAACTCTGACTAACGACTAATAGTCTAATATGCACATGATATTGCTTCATATGCTTTTTTTTTTCCCTCCGTCTCCAGAATGATTAATGAAGTTTCTGTAGGTCCTTAGCTTTCATCAGTTAGCTTAAGTGTCTTGTGACATGCAATTATATAAATTATCCAATATTTTTTATGTATCGATCAGGCAATAGACAAGTGCCGTGAGTGTCCACCCACAAATTGGCCTGCTGCTGCATACGTGCTACTTGGTCGTGAAGATTTGGCGTTGTTGCATTTAAGTGATCCTGCAAAATACGTGGAACTTGATTTTACGAAATCAAGTTTGATTTCGGTGTCTACGCCTTACATGTTACCTCTACACCCAGTGACCATACCTTCTTCAGTCTCTGATACACTCGAAACTGATAGTACCAAGCTAGAGGACATAGACAGTTTGGAGGGATCTGCTTCAGATGGAATGGAGCATATTTTCAATTCCAGCACACAGTTACGCTATGGTCGTGATCTGCGGCTTAATGAGGTGCGCTTCAAGCTAAGAAACTGCCTAAATCAGGGTCTACTCAACTTGTTTTTTCTTTATATTTTTTATGTTTTTATTACTTGTGAATAACAATAAAGTGACTTCGTATTTTATGATGCTTTTAACTGCTTTGGTAGGTTCATGCTTATGTATACTTTCTATATGTACGTCTGTGTTTGTGGGACGGAATTTTATGCTACTTAAATAAGTTATGTATTTCTCTCTCTCTCTATATATACATGCATATATATACGCATGTATATGTATATGTATTCATGCAAAAATGCTATTTCTTTTAAGCTTGGCACTTCCCTTTTCATCCATGTAAAACTCTCTCAGAGGATGTGTTTTTCTTGTTCTGGTGATTGCTTTGACATGCATTGTGATTGTATTCTGCTATATGGATGAAGCAATTCCAATTTAAAATTTATATATGGTTTGATAGATATCATGGATTACAGTAGTTTTGGTTTTCATAGGTGAGACGCCTTTTATGCTCTGCAAGACCTGTATCTATTCAAACACCTGCCAACCCCACAGCTTCAGATCAGGACTTCCAACAGGTATCTGCTGCTTCTGTAACTTAGATTTTTATTTTTTTTGATTGACGACAGACTACCTTTACTCTTGCTCGCATATAGTTATACTGGTTTGAGCTCTTGCTGTTGCCATAAAAAGTTAGTTATTTATATCCCATGTGTTTATTTGTGACAGGATTTGCTGTTTCCATAAAAAGATAGTTATTTATATCCTGTGTTTATTTGTGACGGAATTCGAAATTTAGCAAACAAATTGACGGGCTAGATCCTACTTGCATTGCGCTTATAAGGGTAGAATTTATCTGTGATTTATGAGTGGGATTTTTTCACAGTGAAATCTTATTACCTTGATTTTGTTACATGAGATTCGTACTTCATTCTTCACCTTCTGTGTCATTTACCAATATTTTCTGGATGAGTAACTGAAGTTCTGCAGTGTCCTAGGGCGACTTTTTACCTATGTATTACTTGGATCCACAGTATTTCTGCTTATAGTTGTTTCACCTAATATCTCACATTTTGGAGCTGTGAGTATCTGCCAAAATGGAATACAACTTTCCTTAGAATTACATCACTATCTATTAACCAGCTAAAACATATACTCGACCATAATATCTTAATGATATAATTGTTAGGGCCATGCTTCATATCAGAGAGAGTCCTTTGTAAGTATATATTGAACTCTTTTCACTGCGAGATTCTAGCTCATTAAGTGTGAGTATTACCAATCGTATGGGAATGTTTCTGCATCTGAACATTTTGTGTTTTCCGGCCAAAGAAATTTTTATTCCATAATATCAACCTTACAAAGGGGGCCTCGTTAAAAACCTTGCGGGCCTGCACAAGGAAAAGAGTATCCCTAAGAACATGACATCTGAACAACATTTAATGTTAATTGTCAACCTTTTTCTTTTCGTACGTGTTGGTGCTGGATATTCTTATCTATCACATGTTTGCATACCGTACAGCCATCGTGCATTGTCATATAAAATGGAATATGATTTGTCTGTTTGTACCAACATTTGAGTTATGTCGTATATTATTGGCTGAAGATATTGCATGCCATGTTTTACCATATGATCATTTAATTCAATCATGATATCATAGGGTGTTGGACTGCGAGCCTTAATGTATCTCTTGTGTCCTGTTTAATCACATGAACTCTGATAGTTGTTACTGATATGTTAAACTCGTTTCTTATTTTTTGTTTCATGCCACAACAAAATTTCACTTCAAATCATATTGCCGTTGAAACTAGTTTTTGGTTTTAATCCCTTCATGGATTAGATTGAGTTTATAACCAAAGATGTCTTGCGATTTTCTGGTTTGAATTTTGCAGACTCAGCTCTGGCATCTTGCACAAAGAACGACTGCCCTTCCATTTGGCCGTGGTGCATTTACACTGGGTACTATATGTACTCTTCTAACAGAGGTGCTTATTGTTTTTAGTATGTAATTCTTATCTCAACTGGTCAATGCTGTTGACAGTGTCGATAACTCGAAGTTTCCTTATTTATTCCACCTGTCTTATCTTTTGTTACTCAAATAGGCTGACATGCTTAATTGTATCATCTGAACAATTTCTTCCAGGCACTTGCTGTTCCAAAGCTTGTCTTGGCTGGTCGGTTGCCTGCACAACAGAATGCAATGGTATTTCTTATTGACACTATAGGTTACTTTTATGCTTATTGATACTCTTGATAATTAAGCAATAATATAAATGTTGGCTCAGGTTAATTTAGACCCAAATATTAGAAATATTCAAGAACTCAAGTCCTGGCCAGAATTTCACAATGCTGTAGCTGCTGGCTTGAGACTGTCTCCTCTCCAGGTCTATTTTATATTATACGACCTTACACAAGAGTTATTGCCTTCATCTAATTTTCTAACGCATCTTGTACTTCTGCATGCAGGGAAAAATGTCAAGAACATGGATACTTTATAACAAACCAGATGAACCTAATGTTACTCATGCGGGACTTCTTCTTGCTCTGGGCTTGCATGGGCATCTTCGTGTCCTAACTATTACCGATATATTCCAGTATTATTCTCTGGTAAAGTATTTCGATCTTTAGGCACCCGAATTACTTCATGTTTGTTGATTTTCTCCTTTTTTTTTTTTTTTTTTTTTTTTTTTTTTTTTCTTATTATACATGTATATATATATCTTTCTTAATCACGAAGACTGGAAATTACGGTTTTGAAAAGTGTATCAAACCTGATACACACAATTAATTAGGATTACTTTTCTCTTCTGTTAGTCAATTTCATATTTCAATATTGGTAACAAAACTTTTCACTTTTCGTATATTCTGCATGTTAATATTTCCTTTCTAGGAACATGAAAGTACTACTGTAGGATTAATGATTGGCCTTGCTGCTTCTTATAGAGGAACCATGCAGCCGTCAATTTCAAAGGTAAAATGCAGAAAACTGGTCTCTTTTCCTCTTACTACTCTCAAATGTCTCCAGACTCTATCTTCTTTAATGCTCCATGTTTAATAACACTTCTATCTTTTGGAAAAGATTTCTATAATTTATGAAACTAGTAATTTCTTATGCTGATTGATTATTCGTATATGTATATAATATTTCTATTTTGAGCAGTCTCTGTACGTACACTTGCCTGCCCGGCATCCATCTTCATTTCCAGAATTAGAACTGCCTACACTTATACAGGTAAAATCTTTAAGGATTATGGGAGTGATTGATCTGCATCTGTAATCATTTGATTTTCCTTTTTCCGTGACTCCGTCATTGTTCTGTGCCTATCTTAGTATTCGGTGATGTGATTATTTTACAGCATAAAACTTCATTTGTGCTTTTTTTATTTTTAATTTCTCTTCTTGGATATACTTTTGTCGAGCCTTCATCTTATCAGATATTTTTCTAGTATTATGTGTATTATTCTGCTCTATTTTGAAGAGTGCATGTGCATTATCTTTACTTATAGGTTTCACAGTCAGGATAGCATTTGCTGTGGCACTATTCATGTTACCGAAATTGAATTTTATTTATCACCTGATTGTGGAATTTCTAGTTGGATGTTTCCAATGTTTTCTGTTGAAGGAAGTTTTACCAAATTTGCATTTTTCCAGTCAGCAGCACTTATTTCCGTGGGGCTACTTTACGAGGGATCTACACACCCGCAAACGATGCAAATTCTTCTGGTAATTTGATGATTTAACATGATCCTACAGGTCTCATGTCGATTAATTAATATGTTTTACATGTATCATATAGGGCTTCATGTGTTAACATGCTTCTTTGTGATTGAAGAAAATGAGCTCTAATCACTTTCTTTGCAAATTTGAGTGATGGGTGAGTTGTGAAAGTAATAGTGGAGCAGCTTACTGCATTATAATTGTGGAATCGTCAGGATTATTTTCAAAATATTCTCATTTATCCGTGTTTGTTTCGCATGCATTTCAATTGTTCTTTTGCTGTATAAAGTCGCTTTATTGGGGTCTCTGTACTTCAGCCTGTTCCTATTATCTTTTGGTCCTGTGAGGTAAATTCTTATCTAAGATACTAATCCTGGAAAGCTGAGCTGAGTTAACATTCTTATGTTGGTTTGTTAGAGTTTGATATTATGGGAGCATACCGGAAGTGGTATTCCACACTCATTTAGAAATTTAAAACTCTTTTCATTATCTGAAATTTTATCTGAGGAGAGGCAAGTTACTCACATTACTGTTATTTATACACACATCATCTTGCTTATTTTCTTTAATACAGTAGTTAAGAACAATTGCTCTAGATTGTATGAGATGCAAGTGTTGATGTTATAATAATATATAGTTTCTTTTTCCAGAGTGAAATAGGTCGCAGAAGTGGAGGAGATAATGTACTTGAAAGGGAGGGCTATGCAGTTTCAGCTGGTTTTTCACTAGGACTGGTTGCGTTGGGTATGGTTTTCAAATTGTCCCAGTTAACTACTTTTAATTATTAGCTAACCGCCCAGACCATCTTTGTTAATGCAGGTCGCGGGCAAGATGCCATTGGATATATAGATACCTTGGTGGATCGGTTGTTCCAATATATTGTTGGCAAAGAACTTCATAGTGTATGTCCTCCCTATCTGAATCAAATACTGCTACAGACTGTGATGGTTAATTTATCCTGAATTGATGTATTGAGACTATGGCTTACTTTATAAGTTACTTACAGGACAGGCTCCACTTATTTTCAACATCAGCTGATGAGCATAATCGAAGTACGGGACAGGTTGTGTAATTTTCCTTCTAGTCATAAAATATATAGTTTTATGGCATTACTAATAAAGTTTGAAATCTGTTTTCTAAATTACTGATTATCTGGTTTCTATTTTCGCACATTTTCTGAACTATCGCAACTTTTTTCTTACTAGATTATTGATGGAAACCTGGTCAATATTGATGTTACTGCACCTGGGGCTATAATTGCTTTAGCTCTCATGTATTTGAAGGTAACCCTTAGTATGTAATTTCTTGGTAATTTTTCCATGTCACCAATTAGTGACATAATACTGTAACTTCAAATTTTATTTCCTGATTTTTGCTCCTGAGATATTTTGGTTTAACCTGTGACTGAAACAGACAGAATCTGAGCTGATAGTATCTAGACTTCCAATTCCACAAACTCAGTTTGAGTTGCAGTATGTTAGGCCTGATTTTGTATTGCTTCATGTCGTTGCACGGAATTTGATTATGTGGAGCAGGTATAATTTTCAGTTGGTTTTGAAATGCTGATGTTTAGGAATTACTATGGGAATGCTCTGAGTAGTGTGAGTTTATATTGCATAGAATTCGCCCATCAGAAGACTGGATTCAGTCTCAGGTTCCTGAAGTTGTCCAAAATGGAGTGAAGGGTCTTGGAAGTGAAATGGAGGATATATATGAGGTCGATGTTGAAGCATTAGTACAGGCATATGTCAATGTCGTGGTTGGAGCATGTATCTCTCTTGGTAAGCAATTATTATTGTTGAATATCATCGACCTGCTATGATTTGTGTTTGTTGTTTTGTGCCCCTAAATTTCAGATCTAACATTTTTCAAACCTTCACAAATTTAGCAGACGTGGATTTTAGTGTTGCTGATTTGAATTTGAGTGACTCCACCCTATCTTCTTAGCTTGAAAACTTTAGACAGTCAAATAAGACATCTTTCTGAGGCAAGAGAAAGCTAGAACATAGGCCCAATGATTGTACTACTGTTTCCCAAAGACGTTGCTTCTATTTGATTCATCAATTTATTGTAAATACTAAGTGCGGAAACATGCATGCCTGCAGGCCTGAGATTTGCTGGTACAAGAGATGCAAATGCACAGGAGTTGCTTTACAAATATGCTATCTACTTCTTAAATGAGGTTTGACTTGAAGGATATTTACTGCATCTACATTATATATTGATCAAATGTAAAAAGTTCACTTCCCCTGCAGATTAAGCCCGTTTGTGTTTCCAATTGTAACGGTTTGCCGAAAGGACTATCCGTTTATGTTGACCGTGGAACATTGGAGACATGTCTTCATCTGATTGTTCTTTCTCTTTGCGTGGTCAGTAGATTCTTAGTTTTTTTTTCTCTATCTGATTTACAAGCAAAGCAATATCTTATATTTCTTATTGATGCAGGTAATGGCTGGATCTGGTCATCTACAAACATTCAGATTTTTGAAATTTCTTCGCAATCGCAGTTCTGCTGATGGGCATGCTTATTTTGGTACTCAAATGGCAGTAAGTCTGCTAACATGGGATCTCTACTTACTTTTTAATGCACATCCAACATTCTTCTAAGGCAGGATATTTCGTACATATTAGATGCCCTTGAAGGCTTTTAGTTTTGGTTGCTACCTTTCATTAAAGATTCCTGAAAACAAGACTGGAGTTCTAATCAGTTTGGGAAAACTAACTTTCATTAACTTTTGGAGTTCATCGATCAGTTAAGTTGTAGAAATTAATAGCAAATGTTTGTAAACTAGAAAATACAATTGTAGTGAGACGGAGTACTTGAGAATACCAACAGTCCAACACACCAGTACCTGTCTTAGGCTGTACGTTTTGTAGGGTCTCCAGTAATCCACTGAGCTTCTTCACTTTTCAAACTCTCACGAGAATCAAAACTGTCCTTAGAGGCTGCAGCATGTGCTTGCCCCTTTCTTTCTGACTCCCACCAGTATAGTTTTTGAGGCTTACCATGAAGTTTTCAACACCTTTATCTATTGTCTTGGTTTTCGTCGGCTCTGTGAACACTCTAAACGATGCACATTGTGAGGCAGCCTGTTCTATTGTTTCTATGAAAAGAGACCTTGGTTTTTATAAACCTGGCTGTGACGCCATGCAAGAAATTGGCTTCTTGTATGAATTGATTCTAAAACAATATACATACTGTATTTATACAAGAGACGACATAATCTAAAAAGGAAAATAAAGACTCTTTCCTGTACAGTAAAGACTAATTACAATAATTGAAGATCTCTAAAAATTAGGAGTGTAAAAGGAATTAGTAAATAATGTAACTAATTATATTTCTTACAGCATTCATGCCACTTGTGGTTCTTTATTCACTTTCACCTAGATAAACAGAAGCCTAGAAAATAATTTGCAGGCTCTATAGTTGCTTGCTCATGAAAAAAATTATGTTAAAGCATGTTTATCAGAGGTTGTCTATTGCTTTGCGGAGGAATTGATAGGTGGGTGATACGAGTTGCATGCTTCATTTACGTTACTTCATTGCAGTGTAGTCAAAATCGAGATCTAAATCGTAAAATCGTAAGATTTTAAGATTTTACACACTGAAAAGGAGTAAGATCGCACTAAAATCGCAAGTGCCTTAAAATCGTGTGAAATAGCGTTCAAAATCGTTAAAATCGTTAAAAACGCGATTTTATTGCGATTTTGGCGATTTTGGTTTTTGTCAAGAATTGGGCTGAAATTTTGGATTTTTGCCTCATAAATTCTGTTTTATAACTAAATTTGTTTAGCCAATTACGAAATAATCCAGAATATATAAAGCCCAGCCCTAAAATAACAATCTATCACGGCGAGAAGAAAATACTTCTCTTCTGCTAAAAAAAACATCCAGTGGCCGTGAGTGTCAGTTTCAGTTATCACCTAACTCAATTTATGTTAGACTATGTTTGATTAATGTTAAAACATGTTTTGCTAATGCTGGGGTGTTTTATATTTGTTAGGACATGTTTTATGTATATTATGACTTATTTAATTTGTGTTACGGATGTTTTCTAAGTAGTAAGTACTAAATATATTTATTTTACAATACATGTAAAATCTTACGATTTTAATATCCGATTTTACTACCCCTCTCCGATTTCACTTAAAATCCGGATTTTGACTACCTTGCTTCATTGTTTGCACCTGCTTCACTTCTTTATTATGTTTGGTTGTACTTGTGCTCTTACAATTGTGGCAATTGTTATTGCCTTTAACCAAGTAAAAACCGAATGCTGCGTTTTTAAATATTCACATCTCATGTAGGTGAGCTTAGCAATTGGTTTTCTTTTCCTTGGGGGCGGAACATGGACATTTTCAACCAGCAACAGTTCTATTGCTGCTTTGCTGATAACACTTTATCCACGTTTACCTACTGGACCAAATGACAATCGATGTCATCTTCAGGTGAAAATCACACAGAACTCTGCTTACTGTTTGTGATATTGCATGCATAACTTCGTTGGTTAACAGTGGTTCTGGTCTGGAAATTCATTAAGTTATCATGAATTTAAAAGCCATGATTACTACTTAAGCCATTCTCATTTTTTTTAATGGTGCATGATGTTGGGGTTTATCACTCACAGCTGTATTATTTGATATGAAATGCTATTTGCGGTCACAAAATTGCTATTCGCGGTTTCTAACAAAACCCCCCAAAACTTTTAAAAATATCTAAAAACCCCCCAAAACTGCAAATAGCAAAAAAAAAAAAAAAAAATCAAAAATTCGAAATCAAGCTTGAAGAAGGGCTGGGCTTCGATTTTTTGATGTAATTTTGACTCTTTTATGTGTAATATGCATTGGGTAGGTCGATTACGGAACCAATTTCATGTTAAAAAGCCCTACAATCGATTTGTAGGGTTTTTTTTTCCGCAAAAAAATGTTCGAAGGCCCAAGATGGGCGCCCAAGGCGTGTACAAACGCCCGTTCCGGGCGTTCGTACACGCCTTGGACGCCCAAGATGGGCGTTCGAACATTAAAAAAAAAAAAAAAAAAAAAAAAAAAAAAAAAAATTTTTTTTTGCACTGGACGCCCAACTCGGGCGCCCAAATGCAGTTTGCACGCCCAACTTGGGCGTGCACTGCATGAATGGACGCCCAAGTTGGGCTTTTACGCGTTTTGGGGGGGGGGGGGGGTTTGAACTTTTTTGGGAAGTTTAGGGGTTTTAGTGAAATAAAGTGTTTTTTTGGGGGGTTTTATTATAAACCGCAAATAGCAATTTTCAAACCGCAAAAAGCAATTCCCTATTTGATTGAAGAACATGTGCAGGGAAGGGGAATACGTTTCGATGCCTTTTCCTATTAACCATTTATTCACTACTTTTTCTTGTTCTTACACGTTTAAGTACCAGTCGTCTTAGGAAAACTCTCTCTTTTCCGACTTGAAGTAGGCGTTTAGTACTCATTCCATCATCATAACAGGAACTTAGACCTTTTTTTAATATTTTGCGACACATGACAGTAAATCCTATAAAACCTAGTGCACTCAAAGACCGGTATGCGAAGAAATATAAAATAAAATATAAGAAGATAATATAATTATGATTCCATCTGGTGCACTCTCCAAGGGGCTCAGATTTTAATTCGTTCCTGATATAGCTAACTCTTCCTTTGAGGTTACTGTTTATGATGTTTTAGGATTTTCGTGCACTTCACATATTTACTTAATGGATTTTTTTTGCCCTTGTTCAGCTAGCTCTGTTTCTTTTCAGGGCTGCTTTGTATACGAAGCACTTGGTTAATAGTTGTTGGACTTGTACTACCTGCCCTCCAAGGACAGGATAGTGTTGATTTTGTTCACATATGGAGCCAGATTGGATACCCTAGATTTATATCCAAGTACACGTGCATTAGAAGGCTGCGATTTAAATAGAATGCTCTGCCTTTTGACTCATAACTCTCTTCTGCAAATGAATTCCTATCTTTTTCCAGGAAAATTTTCTTGTTACACTTCCCACAGTTTGAACTCCATTTTTGTGTTCTTTTACTTAGTGAATACCATATGCTGCACAATATATGATATATTGATTTTATACATTATGTTAGTATTGCTTATGTTCATAAGATTAAAATGACATAAAACACAGTAAATTGGTTGTAACATTTGTAGTGAGAACTATGGTATCTGTACGTACTGCATGGTGTATTTGCCAATCGTTTCTTTTTTTTTCCCCATTTCAGTCTACGTTTTTAATTTACAGTATCCGACGTTTCTGTTGTAAATACTAGTAACATTCTCGACGAAGTTCGAGCAATGAGTTTTACTTTTTTTTTGATGTACCATGAGCCTGATACGCAGTGTTTATTACAGGCATTCAGGCATTTGTATGTTCTTGCAACTGAAGCCAGATGGATTCAAACAGTTGATGTGGACACTGGTTTACCTGTGTATGTCCCTGTTGAAGTTACGATTAAGGAAACAGATCTCTATAATGAAACAAGTTTCTGTGAGGTCACTCCTTGCAGTCTTCCAGAACGTGCTATTGTAAGTCTCTATTCTTCGTCTCTCTTCTTTCACTAAGCTTCTGCCTAGTGCACTTGCCACATGTGCAGTCAAGATTCTCTGTTGGAGAAATTTTGACACTTTCTATGGTATCTGGCTAATGAGTTGACTTATGCATCAATGTCCACTACCATCAAGTAGTTTATTTTGGTGACTTGTGCTGACATGGCATATTCTTACTTGCCTTCGTGGTTGATGGACGAGACTTGAAAAAACCAAACTGTTCTTGTTTACTGCAGTTGAAGGCTGTTCGTGTCTGTGGTCCCCGATACTGGCCTCAAGTTATTGAGCTCTGTCCTGAAGGTATGAATCATACCATTACACAATTTTTTTTATCAACGTGTTCAGTTTCACTTTGACTACATTTTTCATGGTACTTGTACAGAACAAGCTTGGTGGAATTCTGGAGACAAAAATCACCCATTTAATTCAGGGGTTCTATATGTCAAAAGAAAAGTTGGGTCGTGTTCTTATGTGGACGATCCTATAGGAAGTCAATCTTTGCTGTCTCGAGCAATGCACAAGGTTTGCATCATTGTTTTTGAGTAGTGGCATTTTACCTTTCTCAACTTGTGATGATCACTGTGGAGAAATGAATGCCCTTTTGTGCAGATGAGTGCCACGACTCAACCAAAATCATGCAGTCCAAGCACTGAGTGCACAGGTGAAGTCACGGTAGATCAGTTGGTTAGTACTTTCTCGTCAGATCCAAGCTTAATTGCTTTTGCCCAACTCTTTTGTGACTCATCCTCAAGTACCAGGCAAGTTTACTTCTTCACCCTTTCATATATAGTCACCATATCCTAAATAAACATTTCAGCAAATTTCACTCAACCTGTTTAGTTTGATTTGTATTTAACTCTATAGGAGCTGTTTATTTTAGTATTTAGCAAGTCCGTAGGGCAATGGTGACAAATAATAATCCTAAGTATTGGTTAAGTAATGCCTCTACTTGATGGTTAACTTATACGTACTAAATTCTTTATGCAGATCTGAGCTCGACTTTCAGGAATTCTGCCTGCAAGTGTTATTTGAGTGTGTGAGCAAGGACAGACCAGCAATGTTACAGGTAATATCATAAATTTGTATCTTCGTTTGCCTGATTGCATATTCTACCCGGCAAATGTGGATGAAATACAGCTGCTTGCTTCTCAATCTCACAAACTTCTTCTGGTTAGAATAAGATCATGTATTGTTCAATTTGTACAATTTTGATGATGTAATTGCTGATAACTGGAAATCATCCTCCATCCCAATCCCCATTTCGATTCTTGATCCAAGACCTTTGATCTTTTACACCTGCTGTAAACTATTTGTGTTGGGATATCTTGTCATGTTTGCTGATGTTAGTCGGAGGTATAAATTTTCTGTTGTCCACCTTTGTATCCGAGTTGAACCACCCCCGTCTTGCACCCACAGCTCGAGCAAAATCTTTTCCCTTAGGTGAAGATTTTGTTAATATCAGTTGTCACTAAACTGCTGTAAAGGTTGATCTCTGGAGGAGTAACTTTTAAGCGTCACTTCAAAAAAACATATATATTACTTTTCTGCTAAACTTCCATTTGGTAAAAGTATAACAAACGTGGAGTTCACTTCAGCTGTACGGCCATAACTATGTACCATTGATTTGATTTCTGAATGTGACCATCTGAAAATAGGATCTGACCTTAATTATATTCACAATTTATATTGATATTCAATCTTTACCCCTGCAAAGAAGCTTTCTACTGTTCAGTGTGTCCCATCAAACCTTATGAAATATCGATTTGTGCAGGTTTATTTGTCATTATACGCCACAATTGGATACATGGTGGATTCTTTTGTTAGTGATACTTGCACATCGAGCGACACCCTTTCTCTTTCTAGTTTAAAGGTAAAAGTCATTTATCATCTTACTATTTACAAATATATAGTTTTTGTGGAACTTCTTGGTAGTTTGAGGCACGTGAATTCAGTTTCTGGAAAATATTATCTGCCCTGCACCACACTTTTCATTTTGCTCCTGGCTGATATTGTGTAATCTTCTTCTGCCACCTTATTTGGCTTTTGTACTTTCTTTGGTCACAGATTGCTGTAGCTTATAATGAAGCTGTCTCAAATGGAAGATTAACTAATTTGAGAGGGGGAATTGTGCAAGTAGCTTTTCTTGGATCACTGAAGAAGCGAATCGAAGACATATTGAACAGTTGTCCAGACATGAATTCCCAGTTGTGTGCTTATATTACTTCAGGGGAATGGCCAACGAATAATAATAATAATAATGCAAACAAGTCTAAAACATTCCTTTCATGGTACCTCCAATGGTATAGTGTTGCATCACCGCTAGATATTAAAACAGTGGCAAACAAGATTCGACGTGATAACATATGCCCATCTGTTGCTTTATTGCGCCTCGTATTTCCCAGCACTCATATTTCTGCAATCGGTGCTTTAAATAGATACTATTCATCGTTTAAAGTTGAAGATTGAAACGATCCACCCGGTTACGCTAGGTACTTATTTCAGAAGTCTAGTACCACTATTTATACTTAGCATCGATGTTAAACGGGTGGGCTGCTGCTATTTAATTATCCTTATAGAGATCACTTATCTGTAAATTAAAGATAGAGCACAATTATTATTCTTCAATTGTAATGTTTTTATTGTTGTAAAATGTGTTTTGTATTAGTGTGGAGCTCAGCTTGTACTGGTGTTTGTATCACATTTATTGTCTGTGTAATATAGAAGACTCCATAAGCAGTAATATAGACAGACTCATGCTATGTGGTGCATTTTCCTTGTTTATCAAATCAAGATTCAATGTTTTAGCAAAAGCCAATCAATTCCTCTTGTTGGGAGTATATGTTTTAGAAGAGAAGAAAGAAGGAGATGATGAAGATCCAGATGAAAGTCCTGACAAGCAATGTAATGGTGTCATTAGCTATATATCGTACCATTTAATTTGTTTGTATCAATTTTGCCCCTTTACCATTCTTAATTAGTTGATTGGAAAATAATTAACGACAAGGTATTATAGTATTTACTTTGTTATTCTTGGTATAATCTATGCATATTTATTGAGTTTCTTAATATGTTTGCAACTACCCAAAACGACATATAATATATGATAGAGGGTTGGAGTATATAATAAGGCTAGTTATTACATTTAATGATTAAAAATACATTAAACTTGGAGCCCTGAATTTAAAAATATAAAGTCAGTTTTATATGATTACATATTTATATACATATGATATTATGATCAAAATTTAACTTTAAAGAAAAAAAAACATTGTTGAAATTTAATATATAAAAATAATTACGCTAAAAAAAATATACAAATATTAACATATTTTTTTAGCTGGTCCTTGTCATTAAGAGTTCTTTTGGTTTTGTAGTTGTGATGTATAAAAAAAAATAGATAATTTAATAATATGGTGGATATGATAAACCTTACATTTGGTAGATATAATAAAATAGTAACGAGATAGTAGCCCAGTGTTTTGTTTTTGTGATTTGTTGGGATTAAACATGAAACGACTCTAGAACCCTTACATCCTCTACATAAATTTGCCATTTTCTCATTGCACTTCCCCCAATTCGAAACCCTAATCTTTGCACCACATAAAATAATTTTTAAGCCCTGGGTTGGCACAAGAACCATCCAACTACTACAAACATGAGCACTTGCTAAAGTGGTAAGAGAAGTAGCTCAACGACCAACAACTATAGCACATAAAATTTCAGCTCTCCATCCCACCCTGTATTTTGTTATTGTGACATTGATTTAGTCGTACAAACATCATGGACTAAAGCAAATCCCGGTCGCCGATTTGTGTCATGCCCTCACAAAGAGGTATGTTTTTATTTCCTGTCATTATTATTATTTGTTATGTGATGTTGGTTGATGTATTATTGTGAATTTCTCAAAGCATAATGAAAGAGCAATAAATTTTATTTGTGTATCGTATCTTTTAGTTGAATATTTCGGTTGATTTTGTGTGTTGTATATCACAGTTGATATATATGAAAAAAAATATTTGCTGCTATTGTTCAATATTGGGGTGACCCTTGGTGAAAAAATGGGCGTTAGTTGATCCCTAATTTAATTCCATATTCTTGGCTAATTTGGCAGGCAAAGAAATGTGAAATATTTGTTTGGATTGACCCACCTATGTGTGCACGGTCAAAGCAAATCATACCCGGATTGTTAAAGAAAATAAACAAATTGGAATCACAATTGGAGCTCAAGAACATCGACGGACCAAAGGATGGTTACACCCTGTTTGGTTTTCTCCAGTTTGGTTTTTTCTTTGTTTTTATTGCAATTTGTTTCTATTATATACTTATGCATTAGGGCCTCGCATATGTATTTTATAACAATTTAAATTTATGTATAACCTAAACACTCTACGACATGGGTTGTATTTTAAATTTTCTATGTTCATCGTTGTTAATTCGTAGTAATGAATATTGTTTCCGTGGCTATTGTTGTTGACTCATAGTAATGAATTGGCTCACAGGTCATTCTTGTTACATCGCATTATTTTAGTGTCTACATTAATTATGGTGGATATTTATTTTGAGATATATACATGCATATAAGTTTGTTCATGAGTTTCATTTAAGCATAGAACTAATAAGATCAGTCCTTAAGGAAACAAGAAACTCATACTAAAATTTGATTTGCATTTAGGCATCTTAATTTTCATCACTTGGTTCCTCATTCTCTTAATTTTCTGCAATCCAAAACAAGAGTAATGGTACTTAGTGATAAAAGAGACATATGTATAAATACTGATGGCATTCAATGACAACATTTATTTTGTAGATACGTTTTATGGGTAAATTACACCCACACCCCTGAGGTATACTTAAATAATTTTAAGGTCCCTATGGTATCGATAATTACACTCACCCCCCTGAAACGTAGTTAGAAACTCTAACGGGATAATGCATTGGATACAATATTCCGATAGGGTTCTAATGGACTATTACTTTTAGCTAGTGGTGGAGATAACATAGAGTTATGGGGAGTTTTGGGGTGACATGGCTCCCCCAATATTTCTTAAATCACCCATAACTTTTTGTTGTCTCCACCACTTCCTGAAACCAATAGTCCGTTATAACTCTATCGTAATAACGTATCCAATGCATTATCCCATTAGAGTTTATAACTACGTTTCAAGGGGGTGGGTGTAATTAGCGATACCACATGGACCTTAAGGTTATTTAAGCATACCTCAGGGATGTGGGTGTAATTTACCCATGTTTTATTCATAAATATTTATTTATGTTGCTTCAACTTGAACAAAAAATGAAGTCCAATTGGCACCGCTGATTTTCTTTTCAAATGCTTTCATTTTATGGCAAAAGTGAAGAAAACCTGTAAACATTACCTCTGCATCCTTTAATTCGAGTTGGTTGTACAATTGAGCAATTAAATTAGTACATTATAATATGAGAAAATCAGAAGGATAAAATTAAGGCTATGAAAGACATTTGAGGTGAATGAACATGCATTAATATTATGCTTAGCAACTTTTGTAATAAATTTTGTTCTTCTGAGGTGAATGAACAATATGCATAATTAATATCCTTACCAATTGACACCAGCCTATCATATCTACATCTCATACGCCACTTTAGCCAAAATCTTCCACATTGATTTCTTAGATTTTGTCTACATCGTCATTATTACGTTTAACATATTTTTCATCTATAAATTCGAGGCATTGTTTTTTTTGTGAAACATGCCAAAACAGTACTAATATCCAAAAATAAATTTTGTAGAATGACAAGAACAAAAAAAACCAATATTTTGGCAAGAGATTTCTTGTATGAGTTAGACAGGGATGAGAAGATCGATAGCAACTTTATTGAAGCTCTATCGTTCGAGTTTAAATTAGGTAATTTCAAACGTGGAGACAAAAAATACTTTGGCTTTATTTGCGGCTCAAGAAGCCATCCAACACAAATTTGGCATTTTTTTCTCGTACAAACACCTCACCAAAAAGCTTGGCATTTTAGAGAAAAGGTTCAGTACGTTTCATTGGATGCTATCCGTGGAAGGAGTCGTTTACAATGCAACCACTAATGTCGTTACGGCCCCCGATCACGTTTGGACATACATGATGACGGTAATATTGTTTGTAATTATTTTGTTCAATGTCTACTCATTTAAATAATAATCTCTTTATTTTTTTATAGAAGAACACATTGTTTTAACTTACTTGTAAATATTAAATTTTTATTCTATCTTAGGCAAGCACAAATTCAATCGTTTAGATGACTGCATAAAAAAATATAATAGTGAGAATAATAAATCATATCATATTAGTATATTTGTATAAGGGAACGCTTATATAGAACACATTATTATTTAAATTCCAGAAAGTCTGTATCAAAATTTAAATTTCAGAAAATATAGGTCATCTTTATCCAACAACAACATGAGTTTTGTAGACCTCTAACTGTTTGTCAAACTACGGGGAAAATAAAAAGAACAAAAAACTGTCGAGAAAATTCGGAAAGCATGAACATATAGAGAGTGAAAAAATGGCAACAAATAATGTGAGATGTGCAAACGGTTTTACAAAAGATAACAATAAAAATTAAATAGATTTACACTGCTAAAAAAAAATACAATTTTATTGAAACGCAAAACCCGCGGAGAAAAAAAATCATAAAAAAGTCAGCAAGTTAGAATACCTTTTACGATAAAAGCATCTCACCATAAATATTTGAATTCTTTTGGAATTTCTTTTAGTTTTAAATATTTTTTAATAGAATAAATTTGAAAAAAACAAAGAAGCAATGATTTTAATTTGATGCATATAATACTTGGTACATATCTGATTTGACTTTTTCGAACACTTTTCCCCATATTATCTCCTTGATCAAATGATTGAGTTTGATTTTAAAAACTCGGCAAATAAGACCGGGTCTATCTTCAGATTTCAAACTTTGATCTTGTAGGATCCTTGTTATTTCTATCCACTTTTGGTTGCACGTGAATGTAACAAACAAATCAGGATACCCAGCCCATCCATATATATATCGCCATTACATCTTGGTAATTTTGAATCATATACCGTGCTTCATTAGTAAAGGATGCATACAGTATGATACGTTTTCCTATTATTGATGGATCCGATTTTCCTATTATACATTTCAGCCATCAATTGTTTCTGATGTGTCCGGATATATAGCAAACGTAATGACTCAATATGTAGCACCCCCCCTTCTAGACGGGCGATAAATCGAACCGGTTTATCGGAATATTTATTAAACTAGCGGAAGCAGAGGATCTCTTTGTAATTTTGGAAACATTGGAATGGGGTGAAAATGCAATTATTAAAAATATGTTCTTTTGGGTGTTGAAGGCTTTGCATTTTCGAAAACTTTGTTGGATTGATTTAGCCGAATACAAAGCTTGATTTAGAAATAAGTTTCGAAAGAAGGTTTCTCATTCGAGTGCTACATTCTCACTAAACATTTTTCGGTTCGAGAATAAATCAGAGTTCGGAAAGGTTATTTTTGGTGAATAATTCGAAGTTTTCTAACGAAGGCATGAGAATAGCAAATTACGAAACTTACTATATTAAAGTAGGAATTAAGTACGATTCATAATGAAAATGAGTTCAAAAGTACGAAAAGAGAAATGTTACGGTTTAGGGTTACACCACCAAAAGAAAATAACCAAAAGTCTAGCATCGTTCATAGGTCCTCGTACGTCTTCCAAAATCCCGGGCAAGACCTCGATCCACTACTCGATCCATCCCGGTTGAGGATTACTACTACCTGCAATTAAAAGACATCTATATGAGCCATAAAGCTCAGTAAGAAATCCGAGTATTATCAAACTTTGGAAATACGTTATATATAATATATAATATCGTATACCCGTTCTTACCCACAATCCGCACACAACACAAGGCAATCGGTCAAATCACATATCTCACGAAAACACATCATTTAATAAGATCACGTAATTATGCAAAATGACTAAAATGCCCTTTTTTGTGAAAATCATGAAAAACACATTTT